AAACTTTTTAGCTATGACGAGCTTGGTCTGCTTGATGAGCTTCAATGCTTTAGGGCGAACCTCGTGGTTTCAGATGATCTTTGTTGTTTCAAGGTGAGGTTCGACTGCCTGTTGAGTCTTGTCACTCCACGCAAGCTTTTTCAGACACACGTGGGACTATAAATCATGTCCATCAGCATTAAATGTTGTGTGCTTTTTCATCATTGTGCTTTTTAGGCCCTTTGAACAGCCTTTAGCTGGTGCCTCAAGATCTGTGGAGCAGATCTCAGCCACTGATTCAGTTTTCCCGCCTATATATAGGCAATCGCCTTTGAGAATTTGTTTCATCTTCTTCGAGCCTTCAAGACCTAAGTCATTTCAACTCTGCAAAGCTTTTACTTTTAACTCTCTTTCTTTCTTCTTCAAAGCTTCAAGCTTTCTATTTTTTCCATTGAGATCCATGGCCCCAAAAATCGCCGCAAGCAAAGGCAAGGGCAAGAAGGTAGCCAGTTCTTCGGGTGACGCCACTGCCCCTTTACCTATCATTTTAGGTATAGTCCTCATTGGATCGGACCTTCGTTGTACAACTGAACGCAAAGTTTGCATTAAGATCTTCTCGTAGAGCACTCAATCGTTTGATGGACGAACGATTGTGTAATAACCGTGAATTTTGATACGTATTTAAATAAAATTTTCTAGTATTTAAAATATTATATTATATTTTATTAATACTTTTCCTAATTTCTGGAATTTTCTGAGTTTTCAAAATAAATAAATAATAAAATATATAGTCTTGTATTTTTTAATTCTGCTAAATATTAATTTACGGTTTAGTGATTTTTATATATAATCATTTGGTGATTAATATTATTAATGACCTTATTATTATTAATGTAAACTTGAGTATAGTACAGTAGTATATAAATATAAATAAATAATAAAAAAAAGATTTTTGGTTGATTATTAATTATTAATATAATTCAGAATATTATGTGAAATTTTCGAATTTTCCTTCTCTTATTTTTCTCATTTGAATTTGAATTCCTTCCAAATTTTCCCCAATCAATTCAAATCATATCACATAATACACCTTCCTTTTTTTATTCCCATATTTCTCTCTCCCCTTCCATAAAATAAACCTTTGCTCCGACGAGCCCCCGCCGGCCGCCTCTCCCAGCACCTAACCCCACTCGCTTCAAACCGCCGCCCAGACCACCGCCATCTCCTCCCTCTCGTCGTTCCGCCTCCGTCACCGCCTGAACCCCTCCCCGAGCTCGACCACCCCTGGCCGTTCAGCCGCCGACCATTTCTGTCACCACCAAGCCGCCCATCTCCTCTTCTCTCCATCACCTCCATCTTCACCACGATCACCACGCCAGTCGAGATCCCCTGACCTGCGCGACCACCGCCATCTCAGCGCCACCGGACCCGCCACCCCCTCGTCCTCCTTCTCTCCTCGCCGTCAGCAGTGCCCGCCGCCTGAACCCAAGCTCCGATCGTCGCTGTCCTCCGTCGAGCTCTACCATCTCGCCGCCGCCTCGAAACCCTCATCCTGATCTGCCAGTCCTCAGCCACTACAACTCACGCCGTCGTCGCTGCCCTCCGACAGTCCACCGTCTCCTCGTTGCCACACCTCGGCACCGCCGCCCGTCATCAGACCCCCTGGTCTCGTAGGCAAGATCCCGCTTGCTCAGAACTACTTTTTTCTAATTATTAGAATTATCTGCAATTTAAATCTGTTAATATTTATCTGCGTGGATTTGATGAATAATTTTGAATGGATAGTAATTATGGGATAAATAGTATTTTCAGGACAAGTATAATAAATTAAAGAACTTATTTTGAATAACAAAATTATTATAATATTTTTAGAATTTACATTATGGAAGGAATTTATTTTAGAATGATGAATGTTTTCAAAGAAGTTATTTTGGTAGAAGTTTATTTTTGTGTTATGACCGTGTGATTGATAGTAGTAGAACACGACATTCATGTACATTGACTGTAGGTGTAAATTTTGATCTCCTGAAAATAGGGAACTTCGTTTGTATTGATAAGAAGGCTTATTACAAACTAATAAATCAAATGTTTATAACAGAAACGGAGGGAAAGCCCTCCTTATTTAACGTGGGTTCTTTGGTGGTGATAGGACGCCTCGCTCGGTGCTCGCGCCGAGTTTGCTTCCCTTGGACGATCCGATCGAAGTTGCTGCCGGAGCTTCAGTACGCAATAGAAGCTCGGTTTGATGGAGTTTGGATCTTCTAGTTCACCGGCGATCGGGGCTCAGAACTAGGAAGTGGCGCTGCAATGCAAAAGTGATGCAGAGAGCTTATCGTCGACTCCGTTGGGAGTCGAGAGCCAGTGGTTCAGTTAACTGATTGAATTAATCAATTAACTATGTGTGAACCCCTTTCCTGTAGCCGGACGAGGTTCTTAAATAGAGGAGAGATGGCGTGGCCGATCCTTGAATCATGGGATGTGACTATACACTGTTGAGAGACATCTTGTCGCTCCTCTGTACTACGAACCGTCACTCGATGGGTTGTGCTTCACGTCCTGTCGCATAGGAGCGGCCGTCCATTACTCGAGTGGATTGGGCCAGCTCACTGTGCTCTGGCGGTTCCAGCTCTTGACTTGGACAGCCGAGGTGAGCTGCATTTATGAATGTTCAGGTCGACTTGACACCTGCCCAATCATTCGTACTGTGAGCGGCCGCTTGACGGTCTTGGGGTACTATGCCCTCTCCCTTGATTTTTGGGATTTGACCACTGATGTAACTGTTCCCATGCTCCCAGTGGGCAGTTGACAGTGAGCTGGCGAGTCTGCAGCTTGGGTCTGCAGGCGAGCTTGGGACTGCAGGCAGACTTGGGTCTGCAGGCGAGCTGAGTTTGCAGGCGAGCTTGGGACTGCAGGCAGACTTGGGTCGGCAGGGGAGCTTGCAGGCGAACTGGGTCTGCAGGCGAGCTCAGGTGTGCAAGCAGACTTGGGTCTGCAGGCGAGCTTGTAGGCGAACTGGGTCTGCAGACGAGCTCAGGTGCGCAGGCAGACTTGGGTCTTGATCGTGCAGGCGAAATTCGAGCTGCAGGCGAGCTCCTGAGCATGGATCGAAGAATAGGCCGTAACTTTCAAACCATAAGTCAGAATTGGACGAATTATATATGAAAATCACATATCTCGACGAGATGGAGCCATCCGAACTGAGCCAAAGGCTTCGGTTTGCTTCCTCCATTTCGCCAAATTCCTTACGGTTTGGGAGATATCTGCGTTTTCCCCTTTTTCCGCTATTTCGGGTGAGGTTTTAGCAGTTTTGTTCTGAACTTCTCTGATAAGGATTAAAGGCAATTTTTATTGCCTACATTGACACCGACATGTTGACACTCTTATTTATACTCATTCATTGTCATATAAGCATACCTGATTCATCGCTAGTCTATATAGTTCATGTTCTTAGTGACCTAGCGTGTCGTGTATAGGACGTAGATACCTGTGATTTGTTGACTTAGAAAAGCTAGAAGAGTTGAGATGGGGAATTCTTGGTTTAGGTGATCGGATGGTATTGTTGATTATTCCAGGCTCGCACCAACGATATTCCTGTGTAGCGTTGGGGTGGGTCTGAGGTGCAGTGATATTATGCTTGTTGATTATTTCCAGGCTCGCACCAGTGAAATTCCTGTGTAGCACTGGGGTGAGTCTGAGGGGGGTAATTATCTATAATTTGAGACATATGGTATATACATGATGGTTTCCTTGTTTGGATTATTTCGTTCGACGTACTACGTCTCGAGTTGTAGATTTTTAAGTATTAATTCCATCTATTGTATGACCTTGTTGCTTGGATGATTTCTGATCGCTACCTGCATGATCTTGTTACTTGGTTGATTTTTGGATTCGTCTGATTATTAGTATTCCAGTTGCACGCCTCTATCGTTATTACTATCATCACATGATCTATTTCTATTTCTGTTATCGCATTGACCACGCATATATTATCATTATCGTTATTGTATTTGTTCTTGCCTTGGGGGATCTTGCCGTGTGTTCCACTCGCTGACGTACTCCTATTTTCTGGGTGTACGTCAGATTTAGGAGATGAGCAGCCTCAGTTCGGGATAGTACAGGAGCCAGAAGATTCTTAGCAGGGGTGTCTTGCAGAAGGAGTAGAAGAACCAACTGAAGCGTAGTGATTTTCTTCTGTAGTAGTAGTTGGATATTAAAACTCTTTTACCGTACTTTTCTTTAGTGTGATGATAGATTTAGTTTTTAACAGTACTTTTATTATGGACTATGTATTTCTTATTTCCTAGTTGAACCGTTGTTGTAATAAGGGTACGTTTGACCCATTATTTATGTCTGGGATGATTTACCATTGATGATATGTCTATTTTTATTCTGGGTTGTCTTTATATTCTTGCTATATGTGATCGGGGACCTGTGACTTCGTATTGTATTTATTTCTAGACGCTTAGTGTATTGGATTGAGAAGAAAAGAAAAGAAAAAAAAAGATAGCGCATATTTCTTCTCAATCTAATACGTCGCGGGCTTGTTCACGTTCCGATTCTCGGGTATTTTGGGAAGCGGGGCGTGACAGGTTTTATTGGTGGCCCATGCAGGTCACGGTCCCGAGTCCTCACTAGTAAGAATATGGTAGACAATTTAGATACATATCATATTTCATCCGTAAGACTACAATTAAGTTCTTATATTATTATTTTAGACTACAATTAATTTCTTATACTATTATCTTAATAACCATGTTTTAACTCTTATTTTCTAATATATTGTTTTGATTTTAACCCTAATTCTTTAATCCTCGTTTTCCTTCAGAATCATGGTGGGTACTCGTAGTAACGATAATCCGTCTAGTAGCAGTGCCCCGCAACCCGAAGTGGATCCAAACCAACTTCTGGCGATGATTCAGGGATTGGTCACCAATCAGCAGCACCTAGCTGGGCAGCTGCAGCGGGAGCCTCAGCACCAGCCTCCCACTCGTCCAGAGTCTAGCGTTAGGTAGTTCCGGTATATGCGGCCCCCTTCTTTCTCTGGTGCTGAAGGACCCTTAGCAGCAGAAGAGTTCTTGAAGGTCACCGAGACTATTCTCACGGTGACCCGTATTGCCCCTGCTGAATGGGTGGACCTCATGGATATTCAGCTCACCGACACCGCTCGGATTTGGTGGACTGCAGAGAAAGCTCATTTGGAGAGACCGATTTTGTGGGAAACCTTCACAGACCGTTTCAACAGGAAGTACTTCCCTCAGTCAGCTCGGGACGAGCTTTTGCGAAGATTTGTGGAGCTCAAGCAAGGAGGGCGAACAGTTGATGAGTACGAGGCCGAGTTTTCTTCTCTGAGCCGATTTGCTCCCCACTTGGTGACAGACCCTACTATCAGGAGGCATCAGTTTCAGAAGGGCCTGGATAAGTATATCAGGTTTGCTCTAGCTGGTAGAGCACTTGCGACCCATGACGCCGTGTTGGATGCAGCACGCGAGATCGAGAGCGTTCAGAAGGAACCTGAAGACCTGCACGTGATTCAGAGCAGGACGCCAGTAGCCCCAGCCCGAGATGGCAAGCGTCCACCTTCGAGGCAGCAGCAAAATCCGCAGCGACAACAGTTTTCTCAGCGCCAGCCATCAGTCGAGACTGTCCACAGCGACAGCAGGCCCGCTTGCCCCCACCTCCAGTTCAAGCGGCTCTTCCAGCTCCACCTCGATCAGACTCAGCAGCTCCAGCTCAGCACAGACCCTATCCTCGAGCACGGCCACTTCCCCCACAACAGCAGGTATATCAGGAAGCACACAGGCAGCAACCTCGATGACAGATGTTCACGATGTCAGCTGTGGAAGCAGAGGAGAACAACCAAGTTATCACCGGTGAGAATAGTTCATTCTTAGTTTTATTTTCGTGTGAACTTCCTTATTTCGTATTGCCTGATGATATTATGATAGGATTTGTTTATGAGTGCTAGCCTAGATGCATTTTCATCCTCCTATAATAGGCAATGTTCTTGTTTATTTCGTTCTTGATTTATCACCCTTTGACTCTGGGTTTCCTACTGTTTCTTGTTCTTGTCTCCTCTATTTATGGATATCATTCCATATCTCTGTCCTTGGATTTTATTTTATTTTCGAGGACGGAATTTGTTTTGAGGGGGGAATGATGTAATAACCGTGAATTTTGATACGTATTTAAATAAATTTTTCTAGTATTTAAAATATTATATTATATTTTATTAATACTTTTCCTAATTTCTGGAATTTTCTGAGTTTTCAAAATAAATAAATAATAAAATATATAGTCTTGTATTTTTTAATTCTGCTAAATATTAATTTACGGTTTAGTGATTTTTATATATAATCATTTGGTGATTAATATTATTAATGACCTTGTTATTATTGATGTAAACTTGAGTATAGTACAGTAGTATATAAATATTAATAAAAAAGATTTTTGGTTGATTATTAATTATTAATATAATTCAGAATATTATGTGAAATTTTTGAATTTTCCCTCTCTTAATTTCCTCTAATTTGAATTTGAATTCCTTCCATATTTTTCCCTAATTTATTTCTCAATCAATCCCCTAATCACTCCCCATCTTTTGATTTCTTTCCAAACCAACCCCCCAAATCACGTGCATATCCTTCTCTCTCTCCCCTTCCATAAAATAAACATTCTTTTTCTCTTCACCGTACCCCCCATCTTCAACAGTTCAAAAGAAAAAAACCCCATCTTTTCTTTCTTCTTCTTCTTCCTCCCAGCACCGAACCCGACCACCCAAACCGCCCCGCACCCGAGCTCGAACCGCCCTCGACCCGCGCCCGTCCCCGCGCTCCTCCTCCGCCGTTCGGCCTCCGCCAGCACCTCAGAGACCACGACAGCCTGCAGCCGCCAGCGCCACCGGATCCGCCACCCCCTCGTCCTCCTTCTTGCCTCGCCGTTGACGTCGTCGACTACTCCTTCCACTAACGGCAGTCCCGTAGCCACACCTCGGCACCGCCGCTCGTCATCAGACCCCCTGGTCTCGTAAGCAAGATCCCGCTCTCCTTATTTCGTAGTTGAATATTTACATTATTATGAATCATTTACGTAGTTTAATTGTGACGTATTTATCTACGTGGGTTGTTGCTGAAGAATATTGATCTGAATAATTGATATGTGATAAATAGTGTTTTTGGAATAATTATAATGAATTAAAAGAATTTAATTCGACAAAAGAATCATTTTTAGATAATTATAATAATTTAAAAGACCAAAACCCCGACGACAGCCTCTGCCCACCAGCGAGCCGTTGCCCTGTCGCTTTCCCCTTCGCTGCCGCTAGCTTCGCCGTCCTCGCTGTCCCCAAACAACGTCGTCGTCCTGCCCGTTGCCGCTCATCGTTACCTCCTCTCCCGCTGTCCAACTACGACAACCCCTCAGATCCGTCGCCTTACAACGACGCTGTATCAGACTCGACGACCAGCTGCGCGCATCGCCGAAACAACATTGCCTCGTCCGCAGACCCGTAGCCTCGCACGGCGACGTCGATTCGTCCCCCTGGTCTCGTAGGCAAGATCCCGCTTGCTCAGAACTACTTTTTTCTAATTATTAGAATTATCTGCAATTTAAATCTGTTAATATTTATCTGCGTGGATTTGATGAATAATTTTGAATGGATAGTAATTATGGGATAAATAGTATTTTCAGGACAAATATAATAAATTAAAGAACTTATTTTGAATAACAAAATTATTATAATATTTTTAGAATTTACGTTGTGGAAGGAATTTATTTTAGAATGATGAATGTTTTCAAAGAAGTTATTTTGGTAAAAGTTTATTTTTGTGTTATGACCGTGTGATTGATAGTAGTAGAACACGACATTCATGTACATTGACACCGACATGTTAACACTCTTATTTATACTCATTCATTGTCACATATGCATACCTGATTCATCGCTAGTCTATATAGTTCATGTTCTTAGTGACCTAGCGTGTCGTGTATAAGACGTAGATACCTATGATTTGTTGACTTAGAAAAGCTAGAAGAGTTGAGATGGGGAATTCTTGGTTTAGGTGATCGGATGGTATTGTTGATTATTCCAGGCTCGCACCAACGATATTCCTGTGTAGCGTTGGGGTGGGTCTGAGGTGTAGTGATATTGATTGTTGATTATTCCAGGCTCGCACCAACGATATTCCTATGTAGCGTTAGGGTGGGTCTGAGGTGCAGTGATTTCTTCCCCAATTCAAATAACATGTAAAACAAGAATAATATGCTTGCGTGTTTTATGGTGGACTTTGTTGGTTTTATGAGATGTAGACTAGTTGTATTTCTGTTCATACTTAGATCGGGATTAATAATTAATTATCTATAATTTGAGACATAAGGTATATATATGAGGGTTTCCTTGTTTGGATTATTTCGCTCGACGTACTACGTCTCGAGTTGTAGATTTTTAAGTATTAATTCCATCTATTGTATGACCTTGTTGCTTGGATGATTTCTGATCGCTACCTGCATGATCTTGTTACTTGGTTGATTTTTGGATTCGTCTGATTATTAGTATTCCAGTTGCACGCCTCTATCGTTATTACTATCATCACATGATCTATTTCTATTTCTGTTATCGCATTGACCACGCATATATTATCATTATCGTTATTGTATTTGTTTTTGCCTTGGGGGATCTTGCCGTGTGTTCCACACGCTGACGTACTCCTATTTTCTGGGTGTACGTCAGATTTAGGAGATGAGCAGCCTCAGTTCGGGATAGTACAGGAGCCAGAAGATTCTTAGCAGGGGTGTCTTGCAGAAGGAGTAGAAGAACCAACTGAAGCGTAGTGATTTTCTTCTGTAGTAGTAGTTGGATATTAAAACTCTTTTACCGTACTTTTCTTTAGTGTGATGATAGATTTAGTTATTTTATTTCCTTTTATTATGGACTATGTATTTCTTATTTCCTAGTTGAACCGTTGTTGTAATAAGGGTACGTTTGACCTATATTTTATGTCTGGGATGATTTACCATTGATGATATATCTATTTTTATTCTGGGTTGTCTTTATATTCTTGCTATATGTGATCGGGGACCTGTGACTTCGTATTGTATTTATTTCTAGACGCTTAGCGTATTGGATTGAGAAGAAAAGAAAAGAAAAAAAAAGATAGCGCATATTTCTTCTCAATCTAATACGTCGCGGGCTTGTTCACGTTCCGATCCCCGGGTATTTTGGGAAGTGGGGCGTGACAGGTTGATCTGGCCAGTGCAGCTCAATTCTCTTGAGGACACAAACAATTTCCTCATCCTTTGTCTAGTGTAGTTCTTTTGAGATGAAACTCGTTAGATGGAAGAGATCCATCTAATGGATGAGGTTCGTCTGATAGACAAGTTTTGTCTGATGGATGAGATTCATTTATCTGATGAGGCTCATCTGTCTGACAAGATTCTTTTGTTTGATGAAGTTTGTCTATTTGATGAGGTTCGTCTATTTGACGAGGTTTGTCTGTTTGAAGAAGTTTATCTTTTTGACATGGTTCATCTGACAAACGAAGCTCATATTATTTATCAGGCGAGGCTCATCTTTTAGTAAGGGTTTACCCTATTTGGCTTATTTGGGCTAACTTCATTTTTTTGCTCCTTGTAGTTCTGCATTCATCTGTCCCCGTTTCTTCACATGGTGATATTGGTTCTGACGTAGCTACATTTGAAGTAGACTAGTCTTGTTATCCCATTCTTGAGAACCTCCCCATCTTTCAGAACCGAAGTCAAGAGGTGTTATGTCAACTTGCTGAACCTTCGGGTGCAACTCTGAGGCGATTGATTTCGGATGCTCCTTTGGAGACAACTGACTGAAATAGGATTTAGAAGCATGTCTTCCTGTTCGGGGATTCCATGCCTAATCCCGATATGTTAGACCTTGGTACATATCAGTGGCTTAGAACGATAGGCGAAAGATGCTTCTTCACACCTCCTATGCCGTGTGACTATTCTCTCACCTTTTTGAGAGCTACTTTAATCTCCCAAAAGATGGATTGGGAGCTAACCTCGACACAGGATGGGGTCCCCTACGGCTACTTCTTCAAAGGTGACGTAGAAGTAGATAGCAGCGGTCATCATTTCACCGTCCTACATCCTGGGCTGGTTTAACGGGAGCTACCTACAGGCGAGATAGCTGCAGAGGCGAACACCTTCTACAACTCCTTCTTTAAGATCGAAGGACAATTTTTGGCCAAAGATTTTAAAATTCCTAGCTAGTGGTGTTGGAGTGCTGGGCAATGGTTTTCCCGGATGACTGAGTTTATTATGTAGGAGAACTATGATGACCTCCAAGAGTACGACCTTCTTGCGCTGATCAGAGCCACTCAGTTCGGGCTAAAGAATAACGCTCAATAGTTTTTTAGCATGTTGGACTTATATAACCTTGACACGCACACATTCTTCACCCCCAATGGAGAGCTGGGAATAGCGCTCTATGAGATGGTAGAAGTCTCAGGGCTACGGCTGGGAGGATATCCATACGAAGAGTATATACTAGGGCACAAGGAGCTTGTAGACCTAGAGAGGAG